TTTTTTTTTTTTTTTTTCAAATCAATGACTTGCAATTAATTTTCATATTTAAAAAACTGTTGCTCTAAAGTTTACACACAAGCACCAAACTCATTAGACATTATTATTGTTATTATAAAAATAATTAGGTTAATTGACGTCAAAAATGTAAACCGGCTTCGTTAACTTTAGAAATGTACCATTTTTTGCTTTGTGACTTTAAGTGATGCTTTTGCAAACCATAACCTTCAAAATGTACCATAAAAGCAGACATCACATATTGTACAAGATTTTACAAGAGCAACGTTTGTATTCATGCACCATATGAACATGTCCATTAAGAGAACATTTGAGAGGCTATCACAAAGTTAAAAATACCATATATATATTCCATGGTTTAGCTCACCTAATAAAGGCTTGTAGAGGTTTGTGAGTTTGCTGAAGGAGGGGAATAGATGAGGAAAATAGTACTTCTTAAAAAGACTGAAGAGGAACCTGAAGCCTGTGTCCAGATTCTCCTTGTTTTTCCATTCTAAACTGGAGGCCTGGCAAACAGACAGCATAAAGGCAGACGATATCACACTAAAGAATAGGACACAGACTCAGTGTCAGTCAAGAGTGCTATTTACAGTTTGAATGCAACTAAAAACAACATTCTTATTTAAAATAACTGGACAAATTCAGATGCTGCCTCTGAAACTGCTCAATAATTATATATTGCACCTACACAATTTATTATTACCTGGATAACCATATACTTAAGCAGTGTTTCAAGGATGTAACAGGTCAGGTCATCTGCAGTTTTTTCTCCCACAACTGCTGGAACCAGTGGTGTAATCTCCTCAGGCACCACCTTAGCTGCTCAAATTTAAAAGATGGAAAACATAAATAAGAAGAAAAAAAAAGTTTATCTTATTCCAAATATTAATAATGCACAGAAGTGTGTATTTATATGCATGTGCTTCGACTCACCATCTGGGTGGTTGGAAAATGGGTTGTAAATGATAGTGTCAAGAGTGCAGGGCCCTCTGGAAGAGGGAACAGCAGGGAATCCTGGAATTAGACAGGCAAAGATAAGGAACTGCTCCTCAGCAGAGTTGTCCCGTAGTGCCTGCAGCCACAGCAGGAACAGACGGATTCCCTCACAGCGGATCTGGACAGAATAAGAGGTCATTAATGTAAACACAAAGAAGGCCAATTACAACTTAATGAATACAGGACTATGGCCAGCCATGAGTAGGACCTTGTATGACCCACAGTGAAGCAGGATTCTGCATGTTGGAGGAGCACAGTAGAGCTATCATGCAATAAAATACTTACTTTAAAAGAATTTCCAGTGTGTAGAAGCTTTTTCAGAATAGAACCTACAGAAAAGAAATAGTGTATTGGTTAAAAATATAGCTAAAAAAATAAAATAAAATTCTGAGCCCATTCTGTTCCTTTTAATAGACAACCTTAGCGCTTTCCTGTATTCTACCCAATCTCATATCTGATAAGAGCTTTGACTGTTCCAATGATCACCGAGACCTCAACTTTATTATTTCTTCTTTCAACCATTTCTCAGGTCTCTTGAGTTACCTACTGCTGGTGTTATCGTTAATCCCTACAGTAATCAATCTATGACCTCTTGTGCTGCAACTAGCTCCTTCCTTACTGTTCTTTAGTCCAGCTTTCTCAAATCTCTGGTAAGATTTAATAATATCTGCCACGGCACTTTCTCAGTCTGACTTATCCTGCCATGATAGTTTCTCCTTTCTAATACAAGGTTTCTGTCGTCTGAGAGCTTTTATTTCTTGTTCGTCACAGAGGACCACTCTCCTAATTTACTCCAGGATTTCTGAGACAAACACTTAGCATTACCATGACCTGAAGGACTGACAATCTTCACCAGTATAAAAGAAAATATAAAGAAAGGGAAAATACTTGAGGAATTACTGCAACATGCTGCCACTGGTGTGGTGCATTCTTGAAGGGCTAGTTAATTTCTTTAACTGGTAGTGATTGAATTTGTTTTAAAAGTGAAGCGAAGCGGACATGTTTGTGAATTAATAAACATGTGTTATAGCCTTCAACAGAACGTGGACTGCACAATAGTGCAATTGAATCCTTTCATACTCGTAGATCTTGGGGACAGAAGTACCATAATAGAGTGTGAAACATCTGTGACCTTGCAATTTTCTGCTTGAAAGGGACATGTTCTTAATGTCATTCCAGATACTCAAGGAATTTGTCACAAGGCACTGATTTATATCCGTTCTGAAACTGGATGGAAAATGAATTAAATAAAAATGCTAGTGTTTTCTTGGCTCAAGTATATAAATAACATTGCATCTTGACCAGCAACACATGAACTGAAAGAGTGGAAAAGAAAACTGAATGCAGAGAGAATTAAGTTTTTATTTGCATTTCCCATTTACGTTCAGTTCTAAAAACCATTATTTTCTCCTTGTAAATGAAGGCTAGGCATGGTTCTGATGACGGTGTTTTTCCTCAATGAAGAAAGAAAGATACACAATATAAAACAGCTCTACGTGGTATAAAAGAGAAAAGTGTCAGCATAGTGCAAAGAATTTCAATGAAGAAAATATTAAAAGTACATACCTATACTGTGAAACTGCCATTTGTTGTAGATTTTCTCTGGCAGAAGTTGTATAATTTTCTGATTTAAAAAAAGAAAGAAAAAAAAAAGAGAAGGTAATTAGGTTTAATTAAGAAACAACAACTAATAGTTCAAGGTTTTTTAAATATTCAAGGAAAGTTGCAGCAACAGAAAAGAAGTTAGATTAAAAATTAAACACCAATATCTTTAGAAAAATCCCTGGAGAATAGGCTTTCTTTAAAAAATGAAACCGTTGGGTAACATAAGCCTGGTTACATTAAGTTTCATTCTAATACAAAAAGAGGATGGTAACTAACTTTTTATTGGGAAGTGACACATTTTGATCAAAGGAGTACCAAATCCCTCCTGTTTGCTTCATGCTTCTGTAAAACCTTGTGGCACGAGAAAGCACTCATCACCTCAACCGTAACCCCTTTTTAACTCAATTAGTGCACCCTAACCTTTCAGCAGTCTATCATTATTCCCAAGTCTACCCAAAGGTTAACTGGGTCTCTTTGGAGAGATTGAAAAAAAGGCAAGGGTACAATGTATGCGTGCAGCTGTGCACCCCTCGCTAGCTGATCCAGTTCACAGTGAGCAAGTGAATCCTTCGAGGCTCAATGTTCAAAGCCTAATCAGTGACCCAATAAGACTTCATGAATGTAATGGAGAGATCATGCCAGTCTTTTACTGCTTCCTAGATGCAGCTCTGACCCTCTCAAACAGACGAGCAATGCTGGTCGGCATAATAAAAAGCTCTGCCCTGGACAGTGAGAAATGCATCAGAGCAAAGAATACAGAGCACGACAGAAAGAAATGTGTGCAAACTTTTCAGAAGTGCAAAGACCTTTTCTTCTTTTATCAATAAATCAATGCTTATGTTGTAATAGCTTTCAAATGGTTTACTATAGGTTTACAATCTATATTAACTCTATCTGCAGTTATTATAAATGGTCTGGAAGATTAGATAATTCCTTTGTCCTTTTCTTTTTCATTTTATCCTGAGACATCCAACAACCCAGAAGTCATTCCATGTTAGTTTGTTTACACTTTACTCCCCTCCCTGCTTTCCTTTTTGTCCTCTGAGACAAAACCCTCATCAATATCAGTGACAGGAGTGACATTGAAAGACACGAATCACTTTAAAGGGGCATAAGATGACATTCTGTATGATCCACAGACATGATTGATATGCATATACAGATGTGTGGCTGCACCTTGATATTGATTCCACACGGGATTATTACATCTCAGTAAAGAGGCTGTACTACCGTTTCTCCTTGGGGCAGCAGATATGTTATATTCAGCAGCAGCACAGCAGGGTAGTCTCCTTAAGCTTTATCCTGTGTGTGAATTTGTGTGTCAGTGCGTGTGTGTACGTTATAGACACAATAATGTTGTCTTTCTTGTCACAGAATACCATAAAAAGAGGGTAGAAAGCACATGGACATCTCAGAAATACTCCCTGTGGAGAGGGAACGGAGGCACCAACATGAGGAATTTACTGGCTGATATGAGGCAAATGTAAAGTCTGCTGGGCTAGAGGTTGGAGGAGTTAGTCTAATCGGCAGCCTTACTTCAGCATAAAGATGGGGGCATTACTGTCGCACGACTGCAGCCTTAACACATTTACATGATCCACACTTGGGTTTCCTGTGACAGAGCCTGAGCATGACTCAGAATATAGGTGGTCTACAAAGGATTTTTGATGGCAATAACAGACATGGAGTGATCTCAGAAAAAAACGGACCTTTACATGTAGTTTAGGACTTTTGTGAACATCTAAAGATGAAGAAACCTCCCATGTTACAAAAACACTACAAGCACAGTTTATTGTACAGAAATGAACCGAAACAACTTACAGATATTCTCATGCAGTGACCAGAGTACTGCATGTGTAAGATATCATTCTCATCAACACTTGACATATAATGCATATGAAAACAGACTTCTGTCTTCATGGCAGACATTTCTGATTTAAGATATTTAGCAAGTTGTGTACAACTGTGTGGACCATTAACAAACTGTTTAATTATTAATTTGAACCCATTTTCCAAGCTTGTTCTGTTTATTTTAAGCAAAGGGATTATAAAACAAAACAAAATAAACCAAAGCAAGGCCAATATGAATGAGCAGAATTGCGGAGCAGTTTTCATTCTCTAAAACCAGTAGGTGGCAGCAGCAGAGTGCAATACATACAGCCCTGTCAGCTTTAGGTTGCTCTTTGGACTTTCTGAACACTAAACTGCACTAGAACTCCCTGAGGTGCACCTTTCAATTCTTTCCACAAAGAATTTTAAATGAAAAAAGTAGGCAAAATTAATGATAGCTAATATTAAAATGTTTAATTTACTCGTATGAATTCAACAAATCAAAGCTGGTACAGATGTGCCGAATCAGAAAAAGCACATCCCCTGCGTGCGAGTAAAACGTGCAGTACAACTCAAGAGTTCAGACACAAATACTTGCTTACTCGTGTAATTTATTTTTATAACCTTAACTACTCTTTGTAAACTTGTGTTTATGTATTAACCAGACATTATTAACCTGCTGCTGAACTGCCAGTGATGCTTTGTAATGTAGAAGGAGGTGGAAAAAAGAAAACACTGAATTAAATGGCTCAGGGCTCATTTTCTTTAAACACGTTAGCCAATTTCTTTTACATGTTTATTTAATGTGTCTGAGATCTGAATAAATTGGATTGAATTATACATGGCAGAAAGATATAGGTCGTTATTTCTATGGGGAAAATATGTATATGTATTATTTGTTGTAATTTCAAGTTATGTAGGTCTGTCATGATTATTAATGGCAGGTAATTAAGTCTATCACAACTTTTCTATGGTTCATTGTTTCGTTTCATGTTAATATGTTTGTTTTTGAAAAACTGAGCTGAGAGTGGTAACTTGTTATATTTGTCATTTGACTGTAATTAAAAATAAGCAATTAAAGTGGAACTAAAGACTAATGACATGTGGCCATTTGCTCAGTGCTATGACAAAATGTTGCTGTCAACATCTGTTTAAAATTAGGCAAATCCAGTAAAAGTTTATGATGGGCTAAAGTTTTCTGAAGGATTATCCTTCTTTAAACATAACATCCCAAAATGCATTAAATTAGTTTTTTCTTTAAAGAAAGTAAACGCCTATTAAATGGCAAATATACTTCAAAAAATTCCCATTGAAAAGGGGGAAAGAGGATATTTTAGATGTGGGGATCCTAAGAGGGGATGTCAAGGGATAGCTGGAATGCTGAGTCAGGTCCGAGTGACAGACAAGAGGTCAGGACGAGGTCATATCCTGGAAAGAAAGAGCACATGCAGACTTTCCTCTGAATTTTTTGCTGGTCCCTAGGCTGTCCTTTAACCTGTCCCACAACCTCACTGGCACCGAGATAAACATGCACTTGGGTCATGAGAGGTCATCAGCAGTCATGAAGGAGCATAAACAAGTCAGGGGACCGATCAGAGCCGAGACGTTTCGTTCTGGTCTTGTGACAAAAAACTGACTTATAAAACAAACTAGCCTCCCATTTAATGTTAAATCAGTATTTATCAATAAAATACTTTCCATGTACTGAATCTTCTTAGCAATGAAGGTGTTCAGCAGCAAGAGTCAACATATAACCAAGATATCCAAGTCCAAAACAAAAAAAGAAATGTCTTTCAAATGGAGACATAAGGAAAGATATGTTGCATTTTCCCCTTAACAGAGAATACGTCATAAAATCTTTATCAGCATTGCTGCTTTTTCATAAATTATATGAATAATTGGTCAGATTATACAGCAACTTGGCAACATTGACAACTTATTTGTCAACTAGAATAAGGTCAGCACTCAAACTTTGGTATTCAAAAACATTCAGGAGGATCCTGTTCATAACTTGAGTTCAGAATTTAAATTTTGTAAAATACTTTTCCCCCAGTTGCAGATTTTTTTATATAGATTATAGCAGAGTACTTCTGTAATTTTTGAACATTTAGTTTTAGAATACAGTAGTCCCTCAATACTTCATGGTTTGTTTTTCGAGTACTCGCTCGATTGCGGTTTTTCAAAATAAGAGACATGACACACAATTGGCTGATTGATGGATGAGCCGCACGATAGGCATGGAGTTTTTATTTAAAATTAAATATTTTAATGATTTAGTACTTGCTACACCTGTGTGCAGCCCATACGGCAGGAGAAACTTCCTCCTGCAGCTCCTCCTCCCTCACAACTGGATGAAGGAGAACAAAAACGATATTTTTGACTAATTTTAGCCATTCTTTTGTTATTAAACACACTATGTTGAACAGTAAAAATAAAATAATTGTGTTTGGTGTTAAAACTAATGCTATAAATACTGCACTTTACTGTTTTCTTTATAATTAAAGCAACACACATGTTCAAAAAGAAAAGGCTGCATTAAAAATACTGTTTACTTGTATTTACTAATAAATCAGGGTAAGTTTCTGCTATTCTTAAACAGCAACAGATATGTGGTAGTAAAGCAAAAACATACACCAAGACTTTAGTTAAAAACGTTAATAATTTTTTTTTTTTTTAAATCATGGTTTGTGAGATCAATTAAAAACCAAGTGCATCATGGGAAGTAATAATAACATAAAACTTGCTCCAATAAAAGAGATGGGACTTTTCCATATTACATCTTCAGAAATCTTGTTTCAATTACACAAAGATAAGGTTATTAGTCAATTCAGGTGCAGCATCAACTGTTGAGTGGTGAATGTTTGGCAGCTGACACAAATAAAATACTGAAAGGGAACAACAATGGCTGCTGGTAGGAAGGGGGTGGAGTGGTTTGATGGTGCTTATAAAGAGGGACAAAAGATCACCCCCTTAGGAAACCAGGGATGAGCATGAGAGATCACACTCCCCACAGCAATCCACAAGAAAAAAGGGAGTCACATACCTCATGCCTTGAATAATCCACACATAATCAAACAGATTTGAATGCATAGTGGGGCTTAGATGATGGTGACTGTTTTCATTTGTTTGGTGACCTGAAGACATAACTGCTGCTTTCCTGCAAAATTCATGCAAAGAATAACAGGGGCAACAATGCTGAGCTGTGTTATTCTTCTTAACCTGTCATACAGCATTAAAGCGTGTCAGCAGAGCTTAGCGCTGCAAAATGGATTTTGTTCCAGACATTATTCATTTATAGGCCACTCTACTCTCTGGTCTGAGCCGGGCAAAGGCTGCACAGGTTTTTGTCTGGACTTCTTTGATGAAAACTAATAATAGCAGTTTGAATAAAAGTTTACCCTGTCATAATAAACAGGACTCCTTAAAATGATTAAATACAGTGAAGGCCAGAAAAGAAAACTTTGATTGCTGAAAGAGGGGGAAAAAAAAAAAAAAAGAGTCTATGCTTGAGTGAAAATATTAAGACATAATTTACCTTACATTTTATGTTCCTGTTTTACAACCTCTAATTTAACCACATGCCACCAATATTATCAATTTAACGACCACATATGATTCATAATGTCTAATCTAACATGGAGTAAAGAGTAAGTCCATGAAGTCTGGTAGAGCTCAGGATCAAAGCAACTCTCTATCTGTCCTGTACACACCACTCAAAGCAAGCTTATCTACTCAGCGCACGGGCGAAAGCGCACGTTGTCACAGACAGGGGCTAAAAGGGGACAAATGAGGGTTAAGCTGCTTTCAATATTGACTCCATAAATTTGGAAAAAGGACTCCAGGATTTATTTACAGGTCAAACGGCTGAATATGTGCTGGCAGGCAGGATATCTTTCATATTAGAAAGAGGAACAAAGTGGACGTTTTAAATTACTTTTTTATCAGAATATTCTGATATTAAATGAAATTACTGTTTTATAAGAAGCCAGCATAACGATAAGGACAAAACTTTACAAAACGAGAACTTTCAGACCTAAGAACACTGACATTGTACCCTAGTGACCTGTAAAATTCGAACGAAACATATTGTCCAAAAGGTACAAAAAGACTCCCTCCCATTTTGAACTGCTGTCTTTCCAGAACTGCCCATAGCAAATGTAACCAGAGAGCTGATTGCTTGTACTTGAAATCCAATATGCCTTTGCAGTCAGGTGAAAACAACAATGTCAAGGATTTTAACCTGTAGACCCAACATCTCGCAAATAAAGATGACATGCATTTTATATATTTGCATGCACACCAGCGTTTTTAAAAAGTTAAAATGAGATAACTATAAGAAATCATTGAACTAAGACTTTTTTGTTTTGTTTTGTAGTTGGTTTGTTGCACAATGTCCTCCGACTTTTTTCTGAAGAAAATTCAGGAAGTGAGCAAAATTGCAATTCTGCACTACTGTACTGCAATTATGTTCCCCCACTAGGCTTACGGGTGGATTTAAAACATCAGCAAAAAGCAGGTGACTTACTTCAAAAATAAAAAGGATAGAGTCCAGCTCCTCCCTCTGAGATTTGATCCCTGAAACACAAAGAAAGTTATTTTAGTATTTCTGCACTCACTGTTGGAAAAAAGTGGGGCAGAAAGAAAATAACCTTTGCAATAACATGTAGACTGGCAGAAGGAAGAGGGTTAACTATTAAACTCCTACTGGAGGTTGTAGTTAACTTTTGAACGGGCAACAAAATGTTTTGCACTTACCTTTTTGTTTTAAGTTGCTTTCCAGTGTAATGAAATTTTCATAGAAGATAAAATAAATCTGTGAGGAGTTGCTCTCAAAGAATGCCTTTAGCTCACTCTTGTCAATAATATCTACAGAGAAAAAACAGAGAAAAATAGCAAATTTATTTTATTCCATGGTACCAGAGTTTAAGCATCAAGATTTATTTACATAGGCTATTGTTTTATGTTTGCAGATTAAACAAATGCCTTAATTAGGCAATGGGAATAATGATTTACTGCCTCTTTAATTTGGCTTCAAATGCTAAACATGCTGCAACGATCATTTACTATTTGTTCCCTGTTTGAAAGGCGCATCTTTTTTTATTTAACTTGTTGTAAATTTCAAGAAATCACACTCATTGCTACTGACGTATAACACTGTGAACAATAACTTATAATTGATTAGTAAAATGCTTAATGAAAGCAAAAGAAAAGAAGCGCATTGTTGCAAAAAAAGAAGTCACCACCTGAATTTATCTTTGCAAACAGATAAAAGAAAACTCCAGATGGAAAAGTACAGCTGTAAATAATGTGTTTCAGTTGGAACTGTGTTTTCTTAAACGTTACTTTGACAAATGAACAAACATCGGCGGTCATTGTTTAATAACTATTTTGTATTAGATTAAAAAATTAATTCATTTGACAAAAGTAGGGCAAAATTAATAGATGAAAGATCCACCTTTTTGTTAAAATGTTTCCTCAGTGCAATATTTTTTATTCTTCCTCAAGTCAAAACCTGATTTTGTGCATCAGAAAAAAAAAATTGCTGAATGCATTTTTCTACAGATAAAACACAAGATTGCATAAACAGATGGAAAAATAAATCCCAGAGGTATTATGTAAAAAAAAAAAAAAGGCCATCATTTGCCATATTTTCACAACATGGGACGGGCTCGTTCTGAATAATTAAATGTAGGTCAGGAAAAGTCCTGGCAAAAATCAGCAATTAAGATTCACCTTCTGTTGTAAATCTCACTCTACCGCATGGTAAACTGGAGGACTACGAGAAGCTGTCCAGCTCCTGGGGAGTGCTGGAATGATGTACTATGTGAGAAAGACAGACCTCTTATCTACGTCCTGACACCAAAGCAAGGATAATGAGGACATGTGGTGGGATAATCAAGCCAAAGACAGAATTGCTTTTAGATGTCAACCTTGCTGTAAAAAAATTCCCTAGCCATTTTAACTGCAATGATCTAAAGGTATGCAAAGCAGTACTGACTCGGTCCTCCCTGTAAAAGTCAAATGTCCTACTTAAGCAGTCACTGTTCTTGTTTAGTAATTGTTTCAAACCAAACCAAGCTGCTTTAGTACTGCATCAGTTTGTGCTGGCATTGCACAATCAGCTGAGTGTTAACAGTGTTGTTAGGAACTGTTTAATGTTAATGTTTGTTTAGCATACAAGTTAAGTGCTTTAATAAATAAACATTAATAATTATGTGCATGATAAATGTATTTTCAGCATAAACACACTGAGGCAGTAAATTATTATTTTTTAACAAAGTGGCAAAACTAAGTATGGAATCAGAGTAGTCTTTGTCTTCACTATATTAGAAAAGTGCAATAATGTTTTACTGAATACAAACTTGAGATACATGTTAAGCTTGTTCTCAGCGAGCAGCACTATACTGTCCCCACCCTGCAAAATGATGAGACTGCTTACTAAGGACTGATTTGTATAAAACTGGCAATTTGAATATTTGTTTTTGAGACCATCACTTGCATTTTTCAATTCTTATAAAGCACGTTCTGTCCTTATGACAAGAACACTGATGAATTGTAAAAAAAATAAGCACTCTTAAATTCATTGAACTTAAAATAAGTATGATCACTTCAAGGTTTGTTTTTCACAAAGCAACATTTTGACTTTTTTCCACTATTGTTGGCACATTTCCAGAAAGATCTTCCCTCATTGTCCTTCACAGACTTCTCAGGTGTCCTAATCATAAGGACAGAAAGAGAGAACTTGTTTTCCAGGACTGGGAATGGTAGAGATGACACAATATCCCCCTGTGCCTAACAAAGTAACTCTGTCCTTCAACAGTCAGTGCTTCGTCTGCAGGACTTTAATGTCAAAGTGAAAGGCTTGGTAAAAGTAGCTAAAGAAAGCTAGAACAGGGGGTAGTATTGGCAGGAGGAAACCTTGACCTAAATACTAGTTACTGAAAAAGCTGATAGTTTGTCTCCTTTTTCCCTTTAAAATCTGTAGCTAAAAAAGGTGAACTAAATTACAAAATTCCAAATGTTAAAGTTACAATGGTCACATGCTAATCAAATGAGGAAAATATGAAACTTGGTTTGACAGGACTTCAATTTTGATGAAGCAGACCAAGTTATGCATGATATCTGAAAATTCATTAACAAAAATTACAATGGATCCATCCATCCGTTTTCATATGCTTATCCAGGGTCGGGTCGCAGGGTAGCAACCTAAGTAGGGAGGCCCAGACTTCCCTCTCCCCAGCCACTTGGGCCAGCTCCTCAAGGGAGAATCCCAAGGCGTTCCCAGGCCAGCCGAGAAACCTAGTCCCTCCAGCGTGCACAACCCAAAGCTCATGACCATAGATGAGAATAGGAACGCAAACTGACAGATAAATAGAGAGCTTCCCCTGTTGACTCAGCTCTCTCTTCACCATGAAAAACCGGTACCGATGCCGCACCTATCCGCCTATCGATCTCCCGTTCCATTTTCCCCTCATTCGCGAACAAGACCCCGAGATACTTAAACTCCTCCACTTGGGGCAGGACCTCCTCCTCGACCCAGAAAGGGCACTACCCTTTTCCGGCTCAAGACCATGGCCTTGGATTTGGAGGAACTGATCCTCACCCCAGCCGCATCACACTCGACTGCAAACTGCTCCAGCGAAAGCTGTAGATCACGACCTGATGAAGTCAATAGACCACATCATCTACAAAAAGCAGAGACGCAATCCTAAGGCCACCAAAATGGATCCCCTCAACACCTTGGCTGCGCCTAGAAATTCTGTCCATAAATTTATGAACAAAATCGGTGACAAAAGACAACCTTGGCGGAGTCCAACCCTCGCCGGGAACAAGCCCGACTTACTGCCAGCAATGCAGACCGCTCTGACACTGGTCATACAGGGACCTAACAGCTACAACTACAATGGATAAAAATTGATATTTAAAATAAAAAGTAGGTCATGCCTTGTTGAATATCCTTCCAAATAAAGTGCTCATTTTGTGAACCTCAGTTGTTTTAAAGAGTGAAAACTGCCCAGTCTGTTGATTAAATCAGATGTTTTTTTACAGACTAAATGATGTCTGTCTGAATAATTGTGGGGGGGATGCCGACACTGATAACCTAATGATTCACTAAAATACAATATTTTGTTGCTGTACGAAAGCAAAAAACACTTGAAATGACAGGTTTGGTTTGGGTGGCGCATCGTTCCATTGTGATATATTTCCTGTTAACTGCCAAGGATCTGCACTTCTTCCACCCTCATGTCAGAGGACCAGCTGGAGAACAATAATAAGCAGCCAAAGCTGTTGTTCATTGTATAGGACAAATTATCCCCACATTTTGGCAAAATGTTTTAAGAAAGCAGATGTTATTAGATGAATGTCATTTAGAAATATAATCCAAGCAAAAAAAATACTATAATGCAAGAATTTTCCAGTGGCAGTAAATACAAATTGGACATTTTAAATTAATAACTTCATCTACATATGATCTCACTGTGTTTCATTATCTCTAGCAATCACTTTGCGATAGGCAGGGTACACCTTGGACAGGTCACAAGCCCATCACAGGAACACATAAAAACAAACGAGACAACCATTCACACTCTCACATATGTACAATTTAAAGATGCCAATTAGACTAGCATGCATGAATATGGGCTGTGGGAGGAAATCTGAGTACCCGGATAAATCCCACGCATGCACAGAGAGAACATGCAAACTCTACCCAGAAAGGTCCATGGCCAGGATTCGATCTGGCAACACTCCCGCTGAAAGTCAACAGCTCTACCAACTGAGCCGCCATGAAAAAAAAACAAAAAAAAACCAGTTGTTTAAAATGCTAAACACTGTGGCCTAAATCTTGATGGCTTGCTTCTGTCAAACAACGTTACATGAGTAAATTAGAAAAGAACAACAATCATCTTCTGGGTAAAGCAATCTCATGTTCAGCTAGATAAATAATAGGTTTGGTTATTCAATTTTTTATTTTTTTTTATTTTATAAGGATAACAAGCTCTGTGTGATACTGCTCTGGGATCTTATTTTAGTGCTTGCTGGGTAAACCAAGAAGGTCATTTAGCTGAATCTTCTTATATAGCTGTCAGAAAACTCTGCCCACCACCTTCTCATTTGTTTAAACTTAATCAGCATATAACACTTGGTGTAAGAACTCACAATGTTCAAATGTTTTTTTGTTTTGTTTTTTTCAAACCATATTTAACTCTCTGGGCAACTTCAAATATATGTTTTATACATCACTTGAAGCCTAATCATTAATATGCCATGTCATACAGAAAACCAGTCTAATTGAGTCTTTGATTAGAACGATTAATTTGCATTAGCTCTGGGCTAACTAACACTGCAGGTGCACTACATTCTTGCCAGAAAGGGAGAAAAGACTGATGTGTTCCTTTAGCTGAATGCTGGAGAAAGACAGAGTACTCTTTAAGAAAGGCCTCAAGGGTACCAATACAGAAAAAAAAGGTGAATGCTAATGAGGATGTTAACAGATTTATGGTTGATGGGAGCTTTCCATAAATTACACTTTTTTTTAACATCTTACATAGTAAAAAACAGAAAATGCAAATAAGCAGGACAAGAGGTAATTAGTACTATCAACAGTTTCCTAACCTAGGGACTGCATTTTTTTAGTAAATACAAGCAGTATGCAAATGTCTCTCGTCACTTAGGGATTTGAATAGTGAATGTTTGTCGTTTTCATTTTTTCATTCAACCTTTATTTATAAAAGGTTAGTCTCACTGAGCCACAAGGACTTATTTACAAGAGAAACCTGTAGAGACACCTTTTAAGATGAGTGTTTCTCTGGACATAAGAAGAGAGGTAGTTTTTTTTTTCCTTGTGTGGAGGCGGCACAATTGAT